GGGGGGGAGGGAGTAATGCAGACTCTTACGCCGAAGTGCTTTCCTCAAAACGACTGTCAATTTGGATGAAGTACAAAAGCGGAGCAGAACAGGAAGCGAGAAGAAGAAAACAAAACTTTGCTCCCGTGGCACTGTTCAGGAAGTAAGTCTGTGAAAGTAGAAGAGGAGCTAATCATTCGTGTTTCGTGAATCTGGTTTCAATGTTTTTTTCGGTCTATGTGTGCGTGTTTTTCTCCCAGTCTCATGCCAATTTGTGGTTTAATTGATGTTTCTGTACCTGTCTATTTGCAGCGGCACATCTTTAGATCGGAAAGACTCCTCAAAAACGCACGGAGGCCTGAGATTTTAGTCAAAGAAATCAAGGTGAGTAATCACTTTTTTGTTGTTGTTGTTGTCGTCGTTGTTATTGTTGTGATATTCTACGGATGTTGAGGGGTGCCACTGGTATGTCTTTCTTCTTTTCTGTGGGTGGTTGGCGGGTGCTCTTGTGGTTTGCTTCTTTCCTATCAAACTATCGTCCTTATCTCCCCTTCTTCTTTTTTACGTTTGTTACTCTCTTGTAACACCTTTAATCTTCTGGCGCTGATAAAACCTCATGCAGTTGCGAGCGCCGTAAAACCTCTACTAAAACAACTAACTAAAACTAACTTTCTTCTTTTCTTTCGTTTCTAAAATTTCTTTCTTCCTTTTTTCAGCTTAAAATTACCGTGCTTGTGTTGACGTGCTTTTCTTAATTGAAACAAGCAGACGGCTCCACGGTTTTATCAGCCGAACGATATGTTATGTGTTTCAACCTACGGAATCAGAGGAGTTCATGCTGGTGGTTGGCGGGTGCTCTGGTGTGGTTTGCTCCTTCTTTCCTATCAAACATCTATCGTCTTTATCTCCCCTCCTTCTTTTTTTGTGTTTGTTACTCTCTTGTAACACCTCTAATCTTCGGCACTTAAACGACCTTATTGTGTTGCAAATGCCGTAAAACTCTTTACTAAACTAAAAAGAGGAGTTCATCTTTAGGCGAGGGAAAAAAAGGATAACGTGTGTGGGAAATAAATAGCCGTGAAGTGATCATGATTGTGTGCCACGGGTCTGGTTCTCGGCGCGTGATGAAGGCAGATCAGGTACGTAAGAAGGTAGATGTACTCCTCCCTGCTGTGCCTTGCACATTAGGCTCCTTTTCGTGTGTGTTGTTTGTGTGTGTGTGTGTGTGTGTGTGTGTGTGTG